AAAAGAATTATGATGAAGCATAGTTTTTACACAAAAATGTAATTAAACAATATAAATTGTTGCGCTTTTTGCTTTCCACCTCCCTTTGGCTCGTCAGGATGGGCCATCCAGGAGAACACTACTATGGGACAGCTGTCAGTGAAAATGTAATCTTGTCCCACGCTGACGTGACACAATCTGGTTTCAACCAAGGAATGAGTCTGGCCACTGAGTATCTGACGACAGCACTTCACTGCTGCTCACCAGCGAGGACCTGATCAGCACGCCACTAGAACCAGTGACTTCTAAGGTTTGGTTTGATCAGGTTTTAAGACAGCAACGTAAGTATTCACCTTTAATGAACCAGACTCATAAAGATGAAACACAGGTTAATAAGATACTAGTGTACTCAACAGCAATAATTGGTTTGATATATATCTGTATATAGACACGCTGAGAAGACACATTGGACATGTTTTTATATTCTTGGACCATAAGCTCAGAGAGGCGAGTGTTAAAGCCTGAAGGAGGTAATGGCTCTGTGCCTGGTCAGGAGAGGAGGCTGGCAGGGAGTGACTGCACAAAGCACTCCAGAGGAAATTTGTCCGTAGGTTAGTCCAGCAGACTGTCACTGCCATAATGGATGAAATCCTCCCATCACTGGGCTACTGTAGCACTCAAAAAAACATTAAAACATATGATTGTGGGGAAAGTTGGCTTAAAAAAGGGGAAGGAGTTAGCAATCTTCCCTGCCAAGGCACTGATAAATGGGTTCTGTGGCAATGGCAATGGTGAGGGAGAGTAAATCAGCAGCAGGTACCATTTTCTTATTACTGTGTGCTTCACATTTATCTTGAATGCTCTGAATTCATGCTATGAATCAGAAGCACTACCACAACAGTAGTATTTCAACTGGTCTGGTAGAGAAAGACCTCAGGAGTATCTGCTTTTCCAAATTTACTCTTTGGTTACTTACCCAACACACTTTGGTGACTAGGACCTCTTTGCAGACAGAGTTTAAAAGGAAAACAGTGTTTTTTTTCTGACTGTTTTCCACTTATGTAGAAAAGATGGCCCTTTCTGCAAGCTGAACAGAATGTCCCTGAGCCTCCTCTTCTGTGCTTCTAACTGGGAAACAAAGCTGCCCAAGTGGCCTTCCAGGCAGTGCCCTCAGGGTGATCAGTTTGCAGTATCCTTCCTTGATTGCTTTTGGCTTTCATTCCATTTCTCGTGTTGTAAGAAAAGCAGCAGATCCCTCAGATCTCAAAAACCTCTGCTCAGTAAAGCAGCACAGTTCCATTCCATAAAGTAATACACTGACTACCTCTGATCTGCAGAATCTGAAAAGTTACTTTTTACTGATACACTCGCTAACGCATTATCCCTCAAAAATTATTAACCATTAAGACACTACATAGAATGAGAGAATTCACTCTGCCTAAATTCTACAGTACGTGTTTGGATTTAGATACCCAAAACACGTCCAAGGGGTAGACAGCAACCCAGCCATGCCCTTTCAGGGCTGCATAAATATGTAGATAACTAAAGTGTCTTCACTGACATAGAAAAGTCTCCTGGGCATTATCAAATCTGTCCTGATGTGCTCAAAGGTGTTGTTTTTGACGGTTGCAGGCTTGATTTGCAATCTAGTAAAGACAGGTGCTAAAATGTGGGAAGTCTTAGGTTCTCAGATATCCTCAGCAAGAAGGGGAGTATCACTTTCTTGTTTCCTCTACCCCCAGGACAAAGGGTATCTTAAGTGAGACCACCACTCACTACCACTTCTTCTTGAAGGGGCCATTTCACAACCAAGAGTAAGAGAGAGATGACAACAGAAGAGCAGAATTACAATTACAATGCACCTTACACATCTCATGGATTTAAGCTTCAGCTGCTGAGTACTCGGGACATCTGCAAATCAGGCCTTACAAGTGGTGCCTATTAAAGAATGAATGTATACTCACTAGTGAAAACCTTGATGTGAGTGGGTTAATTTGTCCATGTTAAGCAGGAGCTCAGATGCCACAGTATTTCTTTATCCTTCCCGGCTCTGTTCTCTGCTAAGCATCCAGAGCCCTTTCTAGGGATGCTGTAATGGAAGCTGCTGCAACTTTCCTCTTGCTGGGGGGGAATTTCAGCAAGCCTGCTGAAAAGCTCAGACATTTATCCTCCTCCAGGTTCAGATATCTCAGCACACACACACTCGGTTGTACTGCTTTAAGGCAACAAAAGGATGGATCCCAAAGGCCTGGCAGCATAGAGTCCACCAGGCCCTGAGCACATCAGGTAGCCTAACCTGGGAGATTCAGTCTCCACCAAATTGCCAGCTTCTTCATGGCTCTGCTACTGCTTTAAAAGAACAGATGAACTGTAGACTTCAATTCAAAACAGATTAATAAAAATAAAGGATCTGGCAGTATTTTATCAGCCAAACTGCTGAACTGGACAACAAATGTGTTTAGTACTGTATAACTGGAAAAGCTGTGGGACATAGGGGTATCTCAGTATTCTAGGCTGAGTTTTACCGGATCAGAAGAAATGTTTTTCATCTATGAATAAATAAAGTCAGTTTAATCATGTTCCAGCTGCAATGACCTACACACAGGTTTGAGGATACTACAGGAATGTGAGTGCACAGTGCTGACAGCTGTTGCCAACTGGGTACTTCCTTGCTTCATGAGACTTGGCATGTTTCATTAGTAAGGAAGACGATGGCTGCCTCTATTACTGCTCCTTCAGCGTTCCTCAAACAGACCTGCTCTGCTTCACTGTGCAGTTTCCCTGGCCCTCAAACAGACCTTAGAGTGCAACAGCTTTGAAACAAGCAGAATATAAAACCCAGAACCTTCTGAATCACAGCATAAGCATGGAGAATATGAAGGAAATTTTGACTTTCACCTCAATTTTGTGCCACTATTGCTCTGCTGATTTCAAGAGAGTTCTAATTTCCGCTGGGCAGAGGGAAGAAAGACAACCAGCCTCCCACAAAAGAATGTTTAGGAAAAGGTCCTGCAGTTCTTGGGAGCAGCTCGTCACATAACTTTACATAGAAAATTACATGAGGCCCTCAGATCATTACATGATCTGTAGGGAAGTGATGAATAAAACAGTACTTTCAGCATAGGTGGATGAAATTTCTCCTGACTTATTTTTTATTCATTTTGCATAGTAGGAAAAAAAACCCTCATGATGCTTGACTATGGGGAGGTAGTAGCTATGTTCTTGCTTTGCGCTGGCCACTAGTAACACCCATCAAACCAAACAGCTAGCAAGGAGGATTTTTGACTGTAACCGAGACCACTAAGCAAGGGGCTGACGGAGCTCCAGTGGCGGTGAAAAACCATGCTTTTACCTGGCCTTTGAAAATTCAAGTAGGAAGACTATCAAAAATGTTACTGGCCACGGGATTCTTGACCCTTCTCCAGTTTCAGTGTAGACACAGCATCCTGTAGGAAACTTCAGATTTTCATGGGCTGTAGGATCAGGAGTGCAGGTCACCCTCACCCTGGCACAGGTCTTTGTGAGAAGGAACAGGAAGGGGCAGCTCTGCGCTTTGGGAGGGAGGTGGATAAATTCCACCTCTTTTGGTTAATGTTGTGTTTCCAGTGGAGGAACTACCCCACAACCAGTCTGGACAGTAATGTTTCTGTCATTTTCCCAAACTCTTAACAGTAACTCAACTACTACAACTACTGTTCTCCTGATTTCACTGTATCACACCGAAGTACTTGTGCCTCACACTCCCTCATTCTCTAAAATTTTGCAGTGTTTTAACTCACCAAGTTTCAAGGAAGCTACTCCTAAATTTAAGCAAATCAAGAGAGAAACAGATCTAATTTGTGCTAGCAAGCCTCTCAAAGGATTTACTGTGCTGTAAGCAACCAGTCCATTCTCAGTTTACCTTGCAAGTAATAACAAGAATATCCTGCGGAGAATTCAAATACAGAAGAAATGTACCCGCCAAGTCACTGAGAGAAATTCAAGGCTTACCTTTCTCTGTAAACATGTAATGCATTAGTAGATTATTTTCCCATTAGACTAATTAATGACATGGGATGCAGCATGCCACAGAAGATGAACTGCACATCAGATACAGTAAAACTCTAATCATAATTAAAATAGTCAAGTAAACATTATCTGAGTCAGAACCGAGCTGCATTAAGGTAGCTCTTCACCACGCTGCTAGGTTTGAAGTGTAGCTTATATTCCAGGGCTTAATGCCCGCATTAAAGTTACCCTGGTTACTGAAGACTCCCATTAAACCACCTGAAAATTGTTCTCTCTGCAGTAAAGAACTGTATGTTTGACAGACTTGGGTTTTGATAAAATGACTCGGAATATAGACACAGATACTTGAACCAGTGTATTTAAAATTGAAATTGAAAAAAACCAAAGAAACAAAAAGTTCTTGATCCACATCTTCAACATCAGCAGTGTGACAAGGAGCACAGTAACCATAGATGCAGCAAAACTGCCATGATACCGAGAATACAGAAATACTTACCACAGCATGATGATAAATCACAATTTTGCTAACTACGCTGAGACAAACAGCATATACAGATGGACAAAATATAATGGCAGAGCTTTAGCATCATAATTTTTCTGAAGTGGCACAGTCATTTGGAAGGACAATCCGAGTCAGGTATAGTTGTAACCGTTACATGAAATAAAGGGTCACAGTCAATTAAGCCTGCACTTCTGCAAGATGCATTATACTCCGGATATATGAACATAACCATACAAGTCTTCAGGTTACATCAGGTCAACTAAAACAGCCAACCAATACAAGTAGTCTTGAGAAGAGTTTAGAAAGCCAACAGCCACATCAGGCCTGCAGTATATGCAGTCCTTAGCTGATGTTAAGTATATGGCCCTTAAAGACATCAATAGAGGTGCAGGGTGATTATCTTTAAGTGCAGGGTGATTATCTTTAAATGCTTTGTAAACTATGGGTAATATTGATAGAAGGACAGAGATTCAGAAAAACTGCACATTACGTAATTTGGAGGATATACATGTTAGATGCTTGGATTTTTCCTAAGCTCTTCATCCCAATCAAAATCTAAGGTAGCATCATCCAGCTCTGCTATTGAAAAAAGAGATTTCTGTGTGACCACCCTGGCTTTACTGGGATTTCCCAACGCAAAACTCTTCCTTCTGCTCAGATTGCTCACGTGCCCCTTCAGCAATGGGCTATGGCTCTCCTTGTCAGTGTCAATGTTAACAGTAGGCAAGGTTTCCAATTTTGACTCAGGACGCGATGCAAAGGAGAATGCTGACAGCTTGGCCAATGTGCTGGAGCGCACCTTCCCTGCACTTGGAGCACCCAGCTTCTCCTCTCCGTCCCTTTTCTTTTCAGTGGGTCGAGATGACACAGCATCCAAACTGACATCAGGGCATATTGTTGTGCCTCCCTTGAGCTCCTTCACTAAGGCCTGACTCTGTTGCTTTTCTTTCCCTCTATTATCAACTGATTGTTTTTCCAAACTATTTTTTCGTAAACGAGTCAATGTCATCTTGGATTTCTCAGGGGGGCAGCATTCCTCTGGCGGCTGCTCTCCCTGGAGCTGCTCTCCAGGCTTAAAAACAGTTTCACTCTGAAAAGGAGAAAACTCTTCATTTTTCTTCTCTGAAGGATGATCAAGTTTTGTCCTTGGTCTGAAAGAAAATTTAAGTAGTTTAGCTGCTGGAGGACTTTCACTATCAAGGATTCCTGGCTCATGGGAACTTGTGACCTTTGTTCCCTTCACTACTTGGCCTTTGCCTCGTTTTCTCATGGAAATGGTTCCAGTTTTTGCCTCTACAGATATGCTGTTCTTTTCCTCCCCTAACACAGAATCTGCATCACTTGAAAAATCTAGCAGGCCAGACTCAGGTGATACTGAAGGAAGAGCCTTTGCCTCAGGGTCCTGTGTACTTGTAAAGAACCCACGTGATTTCCCTGTGTGCAGTCTCTGACAGCTTTTAGAAACGCGCTGCGTAACAACTGAATCCTGCGCACCAGCACTTGGTGATGACGGGTCATGAGTACTGGTTCCTGAAGAAGAACAGTTGTGTTCTTCAGTCCTTTTCCTGCTTACCTTGGCAACTTTGTCCTGCTCCGAAGGACCATGTAGGCTCACAGCTGCCAGTGACCCTCTCGTTCCATTTCCCTTCCTTGGCATTGAAGCACTTCTTTCTTCAGAGCAGGACGTTTCACACAGGGTTTTTGAAGCCAACTTCTTTGGAGATATCTTGGGCACTGGAGACTTTTTCTGAAGAGTTTCTTCAGCAACAGTGTTGCTCTCTTCCAGGCTGTCAAACCATGCCATGCTGCCATCACCACCTCTCTTACTATGTTTAATCAAGTAGTTTGTATCTTTGTTATTACCATGTGCTGGGTTGCACAAGGGTTCTGGATGTGCAACCTGATGCTCCCCTTCACATCTGCCTTCGGGCAAAGGCGGCTGTGACCTGGAGTTATTCTCTTGCTGATCAGAAGGCTCTGACTGAGACATTTGCTGTGACTGTCCACGTGTATCCTTGTTCAAGCATCTTGGAGTAGTACTTAAACTTGTTTCTTCGGGCTGCAGCTGGCTTGAATTCTCCTTTTGTAATCTAAGGAATGGAAAAAAAAAAGCTATAATAATTTATTCTCTTTTTTTTCTTTCTCTATTACATTAGTGATGCTTAATATGCATGAATGGTGAAAAGTTACAACTAATATAGGTCCCAAAAGTGCACTATTGAGTTTCACATATAGCTCTGAAAGCTGGGGTGTTGCAGCCTGTGATCTTTCAGCACCTTCTACCCTAAGGGGCAGAATTTATTGTCCCCAGTAGAGGATAGGCAGATGGACAGAGACAGCTACCACCTAAACTTCATTTCCTTGAGAAACCAAACAAAGAAAAGCCCCTGAACAAACAGCTTTGCACTACTTACGGCCATTGCTAGTATAGGACAGGAACCTCATTAGATTTTAACCTGAGCAAGGCAAAGCCTCTCATGAGTTATCAGAATGGAAAATCTAGGTGTTACTTGGATAGTGGTTGCTGGTGGTTTTCTCACACAATCACTATGGACTCAATATGTCAAAAATCTCCATCATAGAGTGAAAGCATCTCAGATCACCCATAAAATGTAACTATCACTGTCTGTGCTTATTAATAGTCTCAGGGCCCTCCAAAACAACAGAGGTGCTAGAATAAGCACTCCCTCCCATCTCAGTATAGCTGATATTCTGTCTATTGTAGCTAAACATGTAATTTCCATGGGAGGTTGCATTCTACTTTTTGCTAAACAGTGATTCTAACCATGGGTGAAGAGCAGCCACATTCCCTTCCAAAAGTGACTGCAGTAGCATAGTGAAGAGCAATGGAAAATGCTCTTCACTAGAGGGCCTTTGGAGCAGGTAGCACAAGCCCCTGCCAGGAAGGTCAATCACAGACCGGATCCTGTCTTTCATTGTGATCTCTCATCTCATCCTACATTTCTATGATCCCTTACTAACGCCTCTGTTTTAAAACTAGCTTTTGTCTGTCTGTTGGAGATATCCCACTTTCACCTGCTTTTATTGCCTCTGTGGCTACTGAAGAAGGTTCTTACTATGAGTTACAAAATAATTCTGAAATACATTTAAAGGAAAAAGTACATTTTCCCAGCTATTCTTATTCCATTTGTTTCAATAACATTAATTAAACTTTTTTACTGTGAGGGTGACAGAGCACTGGACCAGGCTGCCCAGAGAGGTTGTGGAGTCTCCTCCTCTGGAGACATTCAAAACCCATCTGGAGGCGTTCCTGTGTGACCTAGTCTAGGTGATCCTGCTCCGGCAGGGGGGTTGGACCGGATGATCCTTCGAGGTCCCTTCCAACTCCTAATATTCTGTGATTCTGTAATCTTTTATCTTCCTTTGACAATAAGAAAGTATGAGTTTGTTTAGAGCCCAATCTCATTTCAGGAAATAAGTGTTATTTTTTTGTATTTTATTTCCTTGCAACCCTAGTGTTTTCCTCTCAGTCTCAGTGTGTTAAAAGTCTTCTATTAATAACAGCAAATAAACCTTCCAAAGATTATTGCAGTGAGCTGAAAACTAGAGAAGAGACAGTGACAATTCCAGCATGTAAAAAAGAAAAATCACCCAAAAGAACAGAACTTATATTTTCAATTAACAGAAAGGGGACGATCCTGACAAACCCAACACAAAAGAAGGCTTAAAAAAATACGAAGCGGATCTGTTGTATTTTACCAAGCAAGTAACAAAAGGTTGTATAAAATTATTTGCTCAGCTACAGAATCAGGCATTTTGACCCTGAGAATCTCCACTGAAACTTATCTGAGCATAGAATTGAGATATGAGCTGGGAACTGATTAAAATGTTCTTAAATTCTCTGTAAATTCCATAACCCAGAGGGAGAAATGATCTTCTGACAATCACAGAGTGCTACTTTAAAACAATCTCCCTGTTTACCCATGTCCTCTACAGTACAAGTCCCTTCCCAATGTCAGATTCTATTTTTAGACCCTCTCCAGATATTATTGCCAAACAATTCTTTTTTGCTATCGAATTGTTTTGTTGTTCTGCATGCTGTAACCTGTCGAGTCTTTGTAGCTCTTTGTGCAGAAGATCTTGCAGCTCCAGTCGCTCGAGTATGAGTTCACACTGTGTTCGGTACTGCGCCATTGGATTTTCTGGAAATGAGGTGTGTAAGGCATTGATGCCTCCAAGAAGAGCACCCCCCTATGTCACAAAAGGGATTAAAAATAATTAGGAAGCTATCTTTATTATTCCACACCAAATTTAAACAGCAGAGACCATTTCATACCACATTCTCCCTTAGACATTTTAAAGCTTAAGGTCGCAAACATTTACTGAGGAACTGCGCTCACACAAATAACCCTATTAGGTCTGCTCACAGGCAAAGTTGCTCATACACATAAAGCAATTCTATGATCAAGCCTGCAATTTACTTATACTGGTTGATTTTTATTTCTAGAAAAAAATGGAAGGTCCACCTAAGGCTTGAGAACATCATGGCTAAAAATGGAAATTAGGATTAGAAAAGTTTTCCAAATACCTTGTAAAATTCTGCCCATGTGAGCAACTTTTATAACTGAAGAAGTTCTTGTTGCTAAAAGTTTTCATTAGCTTTGCCTTATTATTTAAGTGGAAAGACTTGGGAATTAAACAACACAGGGTAAATTGACTGGCGAAAATATTTCTGAATAGCTCTTTGAGAGTAATTAACTATTCAGGAATAATTCCAGAAAGCAAGTGATCTTAATCTGGGACAATTTTGCTGTGCCTTGTGAGCAATGAAGTAGTTTTTATTTGGAGCAGAGCATCTGCACAAAGTGATTTGTTCCACAACACATAATCTAGATTATTTCTGTAGTTAATTGCTCCTTGGGGAAAAAAACCCCAAAACCAAAACACACCACAAACCCTCTATTTTGCCATGGATTAGCTGGCATTCACCACTCCTGTTTAATCTAGAATCACAGAATCACAGAATCACAG